TTCCGTAGTCCATTAGCTTCAGGCGATGTGGGAGCTAATGTGTCGTTGCGGGAGGTCTATTCAAAAACAAAAGACAACCACTTAGATCTTTTGAACATAAGAAATTCAAAATTAAACACAAGACTTGCTTCTATTGTTTTCATTTCACTCATTTATTTAATATTGTTGAGATAAATTTTTTAGATCATCACATGTCCACCTTAACTGTCTGTTAATATTATTAATTCACTTCATTTTAAATGTGTCAGATGACTTGATCATAATTTCGAAGTGTTTTCATTCAGATTATCCTAACAATCGTTCATTAACTTATAATCTTTTATCACACAGATTGAAATAAATGAAAAGAGCAGTATTTTATTTAAATAAAAAGACATGATTGTGAAAGATTGAAAAGAATAGAGCATGGGTAGCATAAGAGTGTAGAGAGGAAAAGAAGAGAGAAGGAGATAGAGGTCAAATAGCGGGGAGAATGTGCGGTGATTGCTCGAGGGCCGCATAATTGCACCCTTTGTGGTGCAATCAGCGCCGCAACTTGGCCGGCGCCTCGCACACCCCTCGTATATCCTATATCTGTCATGTCTCGCACTCTCATTGCTTTCAAGATATCATGTTACTTCGATACATATTGTTCATCTTCTTCATCAATTTGTTATTGTTATTTACAGACTTTTTCGAGTGTGAAAGAAAATTAAACTAAACAGAATGGAATTCAATACAAGCCTAATTTTTAACTTCCCATTAGGATGTTATTGTGATGGAATCGATTGTTAAAAATCGTAATTTTATCATATTTTTACGTTTTGAGACGTTTAAAAGCATTTTAGAAGGTTTAAAAATCAATGTCCGTACGTACAATTGTACGTACGTATTTCAGGTTCTTTTTCAATTCGATATCTCAAGAACCACTGGAGATATCGACTCCAGATTAGTTTTATTCGAAAGATAATTCAATGAAAAAGATCTTGAAGAAGTTTAAACAAATTCATAAGCAATTACGTATTGTTTATAAAAATTCCAATTTGTTATAAACAATTAAAAATGGCTTTAATGTATTGAATAATTATTATTATGATTATATTTGATAAATATTAATAAAATATTGTTATTAATAACTTCATGTGATTAAATAATTGTGTATTGTTGATAACAATAGCAAGTTGTTATAAACAAAAAAAACTAGAAGATGATGAATGGGAAATTTGTTGTTTAAGGCTGGGCTTTACTAACCTCAAATCACCTCAAATTTTTCTCGTCAAACTGTGCATTTTTTATTAGTTTTTTTCATGTAAAAAATATTCAGGAATATGTAGAAAAGTGGCATACACATCGGAAAACAAAGATTTTTCGTACAAGTGTAATAATAATCGTAGAATAAATAACTGTTCAGTGAATTTTGAGGTGTCATGGCGGATGCACTTGTCATGAGCCCTTTACTGAAAAGTTATTTATACTACGATTATTATTACACTGGTACGAAAAATCTTTGTTTTCCGATGTGTATGCCACTTTTCTGAATATTCCTAAATATTTTTCACATGAAAAAAACTAATAAAAAATGCACAGTTTGACGAGAAAAATTTGAGGTGATTTGAGGTTAGTAAAGCCTAGCCTTAAGCACAAAGTAATCCTAGATTTATTTTTATTTTTTTTGGATGATTATTATTATTTAACACAATATGTTGTTGAGAAGAATAAGAAAAGCCTAAACTTGTAGCAATTAGATTTTCTAATGATTAATAATAAATTAAAAACATCGCCTAAATGTTTCAAAGCTTTTAAAAAGCACTCTCATTTGCTTTAGCGACCTTTGTATTTTCTCCTGTCGCTCAAGTTGATTCCTTACTCTCACAATCCAACGTCGTTCGTCGTCCGAATCTCCATAATTCCGGCTTACAGAAAATGACAGCTTTTAGCGTTGATGCACGGTTTATACCGGGTGTATTATTTTAAGTGCCGCCGACTGTATAATTCAAGTCTGTAGGAGTAGAGGAATGAAGAAAGTCCGCGAGTGCGGGAGTAAAAGCGTTGGATAGGGGTGAAATGAGCAGGCTAGATGGGGTGAGAGGTCGCCACGGTAATGGCATCGTCGTGTCCCGTAGAGTTGCAAGCTCCAGCGGTGCTCAAAATCCGCCCCGTAATTTTCTCTTTCGAGGGATAAACAAATTGCAAGCGGACGCTCTCTTTAACGAAGATTTATGACATGAAAAACGACCTCTTTTACGTCTCTTTTCAACCCCCTTAATTTCAAACAACTATTGCTCCTAAATCTGCATACTCCCTAATCTATTTTATTCACTAAAATCTCAAGTTACAAATATTCCAGTAAAAAATTTGTACTGGTTTTTATTTTCATCATAAAATTATTTATACTTAATAAATAATTCATTTTTGTGTTTAAAAATATTTTGATTCTCACTCTTATTTAATTGCATTCATAATAAATTAATTAAATAAAGTCAAAATTCCCTCTAATTATGAAGTTTAATAATAAGTTGTATTTTTTCAAGTTAAATTCGAACAACAGAAACTGAAATGATACAAAAAATTTTTTGAATTGCTTTAACAGCTGTGTGAGACATATACCAGAAGTTGTACAGCACTAATGGCCGGCTCATTATAATCCCGTGTTCTATCATTCCATCTTACTCTTTCTCACTTTAGTGTTACTCACTAACAGCATCACCACGTCACACACAGAGTGAGATTAAGTTTGTTATTTAGCTCGTCCATTTGACATATACACAACTCCCTGCATCTTGTTGCAGTCTAGAAACATCGTTCTGAAGACGCGGAAAAAAAAAGAGAATTTAGAATGCAGAAATGTTTGTTCAAGTGATTAGAGGAATTTAACATGTGCTAGAAAATATGCTAAGACAAAATACAAAAATAAATACCATCTATTTCGAATAAGTATTCCTTTGAAATATCTTAAAGATCAAAGAAAAAAAAATGATATAAATTTTAATAAAAATGATATTTTATAAAAGAAATAATTAATTCAATGAATCATTTGTAAATCTTGATTTGTAATCTGAATTTAACGTTTAACATATAGAGGTAGAAGTGTATCGTAACGTTGAAGAGACAGAGATCCGGTGAGAGTGCAGTCGGTGATTCAACGTGGGACAATTGAATCCAATTACAACAGCCGCAACGCTCAGAGATTCTCAACTTATTTCAACGAGCTAAAACCTTTCAAATGTACTGATTTATTATTTAAAAAACAAACTACTTCACCTTCAGAATAAAAAAGTCCATTTAAGGTAATTGTATAAAAAAGATGATAATAACTGAATAAATGATAATTAATTGAAGAGTAATCTGACATAACAGAGAGCGAATATAGAACTTGGAATTGCGTGGCAATGCAGTAACATAATATAATCTCGATGTCTCAGACTGGATGGCATTGCTAGTAGCTCGTCAAGTGAGCGAAGCGAAGTAAGGGAGGAAGAGCGCCCCTGGCTGTTCATTAGGGACCGCATTGTCCGCTAACTAAGTACAGTCTCTCCTGCTCCTCCCTGTACCTCATCCTTCTTCACTGATGCTTGCCAGCCCGCGCCACGCAGCTTCTCTGCGTTTCCTGCCAACTCTCTTGCTCTGCTTCAAACACGCTTGATGCAATCCTACTCCTTCTCTTGTCAGCTCTGATTCCTCCACTTCAACCGCAATATACTACTCAGTTCAATTCGCAACATGCAGACAACTTGCACTCACGTACCATAAAGTTTTAGAACCCTGCATATTAATTCCCACCAATTGAGACTTTTATGAATGATGTAAAAAGAACAACATTATAGTCAAGTCAATCTGCGTTATTTTATTTCATTTGTTTTAAAGCTTTTCCTTGATGTGAAATTTGAAAAATAAAATAATTTTATGCAATAATTATACTTGATAATAATGATGATATTGATTGTAATTTAATATCACTTGTAAGAAATAATAAATAAAGATAAAAATTAAATAATCATTTGTCATTAAAAATAAAAACAACTTTTCCTATAAGAAATGCATTGCTTCCATTTTGACTAGTTATGTCTTTTTCTAGCACGTGGCATTGCGTATAGCGCTGTCTCGCTTAGAAACATAGGAACAGAAAAATACGCGATCCAAAAGCTCGTTTCCATCCATGTGGAAAAATATGTATATTGTTTAAAATATATTTTATTTCAAAAATATATTAAAATATAATTTTTCGGCTAAATCTTGTTTAATCAAATATAATAAAATATATTTATGTACTCAATTATTACACAAGATTTGAGCAAAAAATTATTTTTTAAAATATTTTTTCCAAATAGGCGCTTTTGGGCAGCTTTTTTTATGTACTGAGAAAAATATTTTCCCATCTTAAAATAAAAAATTGCCTTTATTATTAAAAATCAACTCACAAATGAAGTAAAATGACTAATTAGTAATGAATTAAGAAAATCAATAATGCTAAATTATTTGAAGCAATAAAAATAGTATTTGATAAAAGTAATGCACGAATAATTAAATAACAAAAAGTAAACTGTAACAGATAGAATTGATTGGTTGATGATGATGTTGCAAGAGTATATAACTAATTTCAAAAGTGAAATTTAAAAGTATAAATATGAGTATTTAGAACGCGAGCTGAATGTTAATTTGGTTGGTAGTATAAGCGGTAATGAATGTGCATTACAATTACCGAGATATGTAAATTTTGTGGAGAGGGTAAAAGGGAGGAGAGTATGACACACACCTTTCCCCTGTGCGAATTGCCCTACTCGACATCTAGCTGGCCAACTTTGGCCTGTGTTATCCGCACCGTGTATCCAACTATGTAAATAGGGGCCAGCGGAAATTGGTCTTTGAGACACGGCTCAGCCACTAGGCTTGGACGCCTCGACTTAATACTATTCTGTACTCACATTTATATACACTACATTCAAGTACAGTTAAAAAGTTAATTGTTTAAATTCATAAATATTTGTACTATTATATTCTAAAAAAAACACACACACACTCACCTCTGGCCTTTTATTTTTTTATGTGACTTGTTGACTCAGTTCTTTCGTTCTTCATTCATGGTTGAATTCTAGAAAAAATAGAATCGTTTATTTACTATTAACTTTGAAGATTTTTTTATTCATAGAATAACTAATAGATGATTTGTATGACAAAATTATCTACATAATAGTATTTATCATTTAAATGCTTTGACAATTTTTTTTTTAAGGTTGGTAATCATCCACTTCCCGTAACATACCCGCATTGAAAGAATTCTGATAATAGAATGCAGACTGATTACTAGTGTTCTCATTTAATTCTTTCTATCATCACTTAATACTCTTTAAACATGGATTACATTTGTTTTAAAATCGACAGATGTGAAATATCAGTTGTAATGTTATTACTCGATATTATTTTCAAAAGAAATTCTCATGATAAAATTTTTTAAATATTTTTTAATTCCCAAGTTATTGTAATGAGTGTAGTAAAAATAAAATATCAATTATAATTATTAAATATCAATATCAAAAGAATTGTTGAAAAATTTGTTTAATATTGATGATAGAAAATTTTTGTTAATGACTTTAAATAACATAGAACAATTGCATATTGTTTATAAAAATATCCATTTGTTATAAACATAATGTTATTTATAAAAACATTTTACTATTTTACAGTTTTTTTTGTTATAAAAAAAAAGTCTCAAAACGTAAAAATATGATAAAATTACGAATTTCAGTAAGTATATAAAATATAGAAAGATAAGATTTTTAAAAATTATAACAAAAAAAATGTAATGTTAATTTGTATTGACATTATTTTATATGTATAAAATAAGTATTAATTTATGTTTAAAAAATATAAATGAGAAGTTTTTCATGTTGATACATAAATCACTCAGCTCTATTTTCCTTTTTTTTTAGATAAAAATTTTAAGTTGCATATTTAATTGTAAAATAGTAGTGTTATAAAATGTAGGAAAAGAATTTGTCAAATGTCAATACATCAAATTGGCACCTAAAACCAAATCTAATAAAAGATAATTGTGAAGAATGAATATCTCATGTTGGTTTTTTAAAATGTAGAATTGACGTAGGGTATAACGATAATTTAAGTGCATGGATGGTAGCCAGATAGTAGAGATTATAAGTGGACTCAATTATTCTGGAAAATTGTATCGATCAATCTTAGAATAGTCGACGAACGACATTCAATTGGCTTTTCATGTCAGACATTCCATTTGCTGGACACTACTACTACTATATATACTGGACAAGAAATAAAGATGACCTAGATGTGAATATTTAGAAATTGATTGATTGCGCTGCATCAACTATTTATTTTTCGTCACTCAAAGCGATATGTCTAACTCGATTTTCCACCAATATAACTGGCAAATATTCCTACATGAGAAATATTTTATTTTTGACAGTTGGAAAGGTAGTTCTATGTCAATTATTTAATCAATCAATTTATCCAATTAATCCTTAATAAAATACGTATTTACAAATTAGCTGAGTGGTTTTAATCCAAGTATTACCTAAAAACAATAATTTATGAAACGTGAAGGAAAGACTTTGATTATAAATGATTACAATTTACCAAATTAATCAACATTTTTTCCCCCACTCAATTAACTCTAATCATTTGGCAATTTCATTTTTGTTTTATAATTCAATATATCATTTTAATATTTTTTTTTTTCTCATCCCCTACTAAAACAAAATCAATCGATTTTTTTATTGAGATTTTAAAATTAAATGATAAGGATAAAAAAGTCCTACTTTCCAGAGCATTTTATTGTACAAAAATACCCAAGTTCTTTCAATAGTCAAGTGTTTGGAGAAATTAACCAACTAAATATAATATATAATTAAAATCTTATAATTATCTATTTAAATGAAACTTGAGAATGAAAATTGTATAAAGTTGAGAATTAAAAATATAATTCTACAGACATGGATTAGATATTCAGATGACTAATTAATTAAAATATTCTTTATGATATTTTTGGTATTTAATCATTGAAATAGTCTAAAAGCTTTGAATAAAGAATAAAAAAAAAAACTGATATTTTTATAGAGAAAAAGTGGAATGGAAATTTAATCAATTCTTCAAATCATGCATGAAATACTTTTGAATTGATCCATTCAAAATTGATATTTTTACAACTAAAAAATACTGTTGGAAAAGTGACAACAATTTCGATGTTACAAACAGATAAGATTGTTTATCAATAATTTTATTACTAAAAAAAAAAATATAAATCAAATTTTAATCTTTATATAATAAAGTATTTATTATGATGTCATAAATAGTAATATTATTTATATCTATAATAAATAAAAGATTCTTTTAAATAAAATAATAATCTTATGGATCATCAAATTGAATAGAAATTATCCAATGTGTGATAAAATGTTATTTTTTCTTAAGATAATCGATTTGAATTGAGCCTGGAAGAATAGAGTAAGGCAAAGGGAGAAAGAGTGAGTGAGAGTATCTCGCAATCTCTTTCGATCCAATATCCGACTTTTTTGACAGCAATTTCGGTCACGTCCGATAATATATCTGGATCATTAATATAAAGCCTTCCACCCCTTGCTGCACCCCTGAAGTCCCTAGCGGGGAAATTGCTTTTCAATCCCCGAGCTGCCCCGTTGCTGCGATCCACTACCACCCTCGACCTTCGCCCTCTGGTTTCTTCAGTAGTCTTACAGTTTCCTCGTGGACCAAGAAAATTTCTACTTAACATTTTTATTCAAACATCCGCCAAAAATAACTGTCAAACAACAGGTTATATTATAAAGATAAAATTTAATTAAAAATAAATTTAATTTAATCAACATTAAATATAAAATTATCATTTCATTAAATTATTAACTGGCTTATTGTTAATTTAATTTTATCGATTTGTTTATGTTTAGTTACTGACTCACACTTGAGCTAACCGGACGTTTTTTCGGTTATTAAAATTTTCCAATTGATTTAAAAAACGATTTATTTCTTCTTCGAGTTATTAAATCGATTTAATTAATTTAATTTAATTTATTCTACAATATTTTTACATTTTGGGAGATTTAAAAGTATATTAGAAGGTTTAAAGATAAATATTTGTACGTATGTATAATAGTCCGTACGTATAATCGTACGCACGTATGTCAGGTCATATTATTTATAAAAATTCCAGTTTGTTATTACCAATTGAAGTTATTGAATTATTATTGCAATAATTACATTCGATGAATATCAATAAAATATTGTTATAAATAACTTTATGTGATTAAACAATTGTGCATTATTTATAACAATAGCAATCTACAAAATAGCAAAACAGTGCAAATTTTAATGATGGTAAATTCAGGACGCAAAATAAGCCTAAATTTTATTATTGCAAAAATAATTGAAATTAATGAATAAGAAGAAAAATAGTATGCAATTAATATTAGTGTAATAAATAAAAACGTACGGTTATGAAATAATTTTGATAATTTTCCTTTTAGTGAAAAGGAGAAAATTGCGTAAGACAACGAAAACTAAGGGTGAATAGACGGAATGACTTTGTTCCTTTCTTTTTCCCTCACGTACTAGTCTTCCTTTACTTGTGGAATAAGGTACAGAGGGAGAATATAACTGAGTATACGGAACACCCTGCCATAAAGAAGATCCCCTCAATCAGATAAAAAATGTATTATAGCTAGTATGATACAGAACTCAATACCTTCTCTACAGCTTCCAACAACGACCAACAGGACACCGAACTCACTACATACTACTTCATATTCTACAAGGTCCAACTTATCGATTTGCCTCGAATGCAGATCACTGCACATCGCACTCTGCCAAGACACTCTCGCGAAATTACTTTCGACTATTGCCAGACGTTGTGGCGCACTAGAACTTTATTGTCGATCCACTGGATTTATAACAATTTTATGTAGATATTAAGATACTTTTTACTCCTTTTTTTCTCAAATATTTCTCGTGAATAATATGAGGAATACGTTCGTTTATCGATTGATTAGATTTTTTCTTTCTTTTTTTTTTTTATACAAATTTTATTAATAAGTAATAAAAAATTTATTTGTTTTGCCTCATTTATAACATTTTAGTTGAAATGATTCTTTTATTTTTATTCTCTTCTAGGTCAAACAGCTTTTATAAAAATGAAAATTCTATTTTCACTAAATACAAGCTATGAATCAAGCTATTTGTTTTATCCAATCCGATTTATTTTTACGATAAATTATTTATATTTTTCCAAAACAAGATAAAAGTTATGTATTATGCTTTTAAATAAATTAAATCATAATTTTAGACGGTTTCTCTATGACATGAAGTCATTCCATTAATATGACATTACAGTGGCATAGTAGATTAGTTATAAGAGTGTAATACATCTGCAGATATATTTCTCAGTGATAAAAAAAAATTATTAAAAATATTTATTGAGAAATAAAAGTAATTATTAGTGCAAATATGAGATAAGTATGTTCGAAAAAGGAAGAAGAAAATTTCATAAAAGTATCAGAAATATCGAGAGGTAATTTTATCTGCACTTAGATGATAGATTCACTCGTTCCACAGTTGCTCTTAGCGGCTTTTCAAACACCACTTTCATTCGATATTCGATGCGCACTTGCTCCTAAATCGAGCGCAATAAATTCCCTAAGATTTATTCAACGTTTTCTTTGAAAATAAATACGTTTATATAAACACATCTTGTCTTGGCATAGTTTATTTTTTTTTTGTCTTTAAGTTTTAGTTAAACTAACTTTGGCCATCAAAGAAAACCGACTAGTTTCTTTTAATGAAGAACATCCGGTGTCGGTAGACTTTAAGAAACTCTCTAAGGGACAAAAACAATAATGTATACAATTGGCGACACATGTTGACGGATTGACGCTATCCTTCTTCGTGAGAACAAATGAAACGTCTGTCTCTTTGGATCCTCGTTATTTTTTGTTTTAATTTTTAATGAAGTTGAATGAAAAAAAAAAAATTCTTAAGATAATTAATATGTTTAAAAATGATAATAGTAATTAATGTAAAATTGTATGTATATAGAGTATATAGAATTTATTC